GAATATGTTCCATGCCGGACTGTGCAGATTACCCAACTAATGACATGCACACTTTTTGCCATTGTGACACCTCTCTTCTCACAAGTGGGAATTTCAAGTGACAGACTAAAGCTGTTTGCTATCAATTTTGCAAAACACACATCTGCCAGATAGCCAAGATTTAGTTCAGAGACCAAAATCGATTAATATTCTAATTTGTTACCTGTCATTAGCATCACACTATATTATGCCAAGTCAAAAGTGATAACCTTTATATATCTTATGCTCCTAAAGGAGTTTGATTTTAGGGATAGACTTCATTTAAGTCTTACTCTCTGTGCTTATTTTTTTCTAATAAATCCATTAGAATTTTCAATCCCACAATCAGTAAGAAATTGCAATAGATTAAAGTCAAGGTGTAAGAGATGCATTGTTACATATTTTTAATAAACAGCATTGCTGTATTTATGACACAGCTTTTGAACACTTATTTACCATGCCACTTTTGAGATGTTAGGTATTCCATTTGTTTTTATTGCATTAAGGAGAGAGATAGCAACATAATATCTTTACATGAGTGATCTACATTCCCTGGCAACATTTTAGTAGTTTCTCAGAAGCAGATCTCCACAGAGGGTGGTGGATAGTCTGTCTAGTCTGATATCCTGCCCCAAAATGGGAAGGAATAAAATGATATTGGCAAGAAAAATAAGGAAAAGAAAGAAGGAGAGTGATTATTTTTTCCCCAGCGATTTCTTTTCCTGCTGATGAATAAGGAAGAGTTGGTTGTAAGCTAGGAAAGGCTAAGATGATCATGTTGGCACTAAGAAAATGGCCACAATTTACTTTTTCAATGAGAGAGACATACTTAAGTGAATTTGTGCTTCCCTTAATAGTAGAAATGATAAGTTTTATGTGCTTTAATTTGACAGCATCTTAAAGCCGCAAAGTCCAGGGTATAAATTAAATCAGTACACATTTATTTATTCTTTTTTTCATTCAAGAAATAGATACTGAGTACTGAGTACATAATTTCTGGGGAGTCAAATTTCATAAAACAGACCCAACTTCTTGCCCTCATGAAATAATACCTTTTGGAGGCAGAAGAGCAATTTACAATCAAATAAAGAAACATAATAGTATTGCAGATGGTAATATAGTATAAGGGAGCAAAGTGGGTCCACAGGATAGGCACTAGACTGTGAACCACAGTGGCTGGAACCCATCAGCCACCCTGCTGTGGAAAGATGAGGCTTTCTGCTACCTCAAAAGATTTAAAAAGCCTCGGAAACCCTATCCGGGTCACTGTGAGCCCAAACTGACTCCATGGCACTTAACAACAACAAATATAATATGCAGCCAGGCTGGGGACCAGAAATGATAACAAGGATAGGGTAGGAAGAATGGCTTGCAATTCAAAATAATGTAGATGGGGAAGTTCGAACTAAGAAGATGAAATTTGAGTAAAAACCTAAAGGAGTGAATGAGTTGTGCAGCTATCTGGGGAGGAATATTCCAGGCAGATGGCACATTTCAGTCCCACAGTTATCGATGCTTCCATATCTGTCATGTTGTTTACTCTTCTAGAAATGAAGCTAGCATGGGGGACCAGACAGAGAGGCATTTGATTTGGTGGTGTTTTCTCTGCCTCCTTAAAGCAGATTTCCCTGGAAGCAAACATTTTGAAAAGCTAAGTGAAAGTTTACACCCAGGATATATGAATTTGGTTTCTGCCTTTTAACTATGACCTCAGTGTTATATTAAAAACACCCAATTTTATAAATCAGCCCATCAGCTCAGCAGCAGAGCAAGGAAGATAACTGAGATCTTGTGGTTTCCATCCTAGGGCTTGCTCTATTGGGCCATCTTCATTTCCATTTGGTTATGGATCTTCCTGCTGAGAATGCTAATTACTGCCAGCTGTGCTAGGAGTCTCTCAAATGAACTTGAATTTGTTAAAAAATGGACAGAAAACCCCACAGGTTGCTAATTACTGAAGGAAAAGAAAGAGCTTGATTCTTTGTATTTTAAATTTAGTTTCTCAGTGTTCTTAAAAAATATTTCTATTACAGATATTAAACATTTCTTATCAAGATTACTGAAACATTCCTTTATTTTCTGCCTTTGCCCATCTGCATTTCATCTTCAATGCAATAGTAGGAGTGATCTTTAAAAAAAAAAAAAAACTAAGTCCGTTCATGAGACACTTTGCTCAGAACCTTCCAGTAGAGTTTGATCTTACTCAGTAAAAGTCAAGACCAGTGCACCAGGCCCCGGTGATGCAAATCTCCACTAAATCCACATCAGTCTTCTGCTACTCTTCCCTAGTTCATTCCACTTGGATCACAATGGACTTCTTGCTAGGCCAGTGTCTATAGCCACATTTCTCAGATTGTATGATTGTTTACTCTCCCACTTCTTTCAGGATCTTTTATCAAGGAACACTAAAAACACATAGCAATCTTTTACCATCTATTTCACTCCTATTCCAGTTGTTCTTCTTAATATAATTTATTATACTATATGTTACATTTTTGTTGTTTCTAAGTGCCCTCGAGTTGGTCCCTCATAGCAACTCTGTATAGGGTTTTCAAGGAGCTTCTGGTGGGTTTGAACCATTGAATTTGTGGTTAACAGTCGACATATTATCCACAGCACCACACCAGGGCTCCATCATATGGCATACTATATACATTTATCAGTTTATTGATTTATTACTGTAGGATAAGCACGTGACCATAAGGTGGTCATCAGTTCAAACTCACTAGTCACTCCTCAGAAACACTATACAGGGTTTCTAGGAGTCAGAACTGACTCGAGAGCAATTCATACCATATTATGCTATACTAATACTATACCATACCATATTATCCTATCCTATCCTATCCTATGCTCTTTCCCACTAGAATAGAAGCTCTTAGCACTTGTTGAGCCTACTATACATAATAGGTATTTAATAAACATTTGTTGAATGACTCAAGTATCTGGTATAGACATTAAGATCCTCTAGTGTGCTGATGTTGCACTATATAATAATTACAGAAACAATAAAAACATTGCTTAGTTCCCTGGGAAGCCATCAAGGCAAACAATCAGATCCCTTCAGGACAAACTCCCCTCTAAGACTGAAACTCAAAGGGAAAACACAAACAAGCATGTAAGCTTGCTGGCGACCACATTGGTCTACTGGTGAGTAGAAGAAGGGGAAAAGAAGCAATGAAGAAATGGGCTGAGTTCAACTAAGTTCACTAGACTCCTGTTGACTTGGAGATGAGAGAGAGAAGATGAAGGGCTGGTTGGTCCAAAATGTGGTGAGACCTGGGGACATCTAAGCCCATGGACAATACAAGGACATAGCCACAGAAGGCTAGAACTCAGAGTGAAGCATCAAGCTGATATGAAGTGAGGGGAGATGCACAAGAACAGTCACACTTGCAGACAGTACCATTTAACCTAGCCTCGATGGCTTGATGATTAGAACTCGACTAGAGGGTGATTAAATAAAAAAAAAAAATTTTTTTTGATAAAAGAAATGATGGCAAATTGCTGCAATTTGATGAACTTTACCTATATTCATGGATGTAGTAGCTCAAAATACCAACAGATGAGGGAAGGAGTCTTCACATCAAGTATCAATGTATAGAGGTTAGATAGGGACGGGCAACTTAGGCATTGGCTACCTAAAATGAGGGGGTGATAAAGGCATGAAGTGATTGGCTTACAAGGTTTCAAGATGGAGTTTAGTTTAAAAGTTTGTGGGGGAAGATAGAGTTCCCACTGAACAGTTTTCATCTTGTCTTGATGGGTCTGGTAAAAAGAGATGGGGCTAAGATTCTTAGTATTGAATAGTGAGTGATTGTTATCAAGACAAAGTGTAACTGTCACAATTGTAAAGGTAGGTGTTTTATAACAAAAATGGGGGAGTAGTTAATCTTACAGTCCAGAAACAGAAACCCCTAGGATCATCAAGGGAGAAGAGCACAAACAGAATGTGGGACCTTATCCAGAGAAGCAGCAACACCAGAGATGGACACAGAGAGGGGGACATGGAGAGAGGGAGCAGCTGAGGACTCTAAATTCATGGAATTAAAGGGATTGAGAGCTAGTGGCTAGGAGGTAGGCTTGCAGAATGGTCCCTTTAGTAGTTTAAATTATTATATATGCCTGAGTATTAAAAAAAAACAAAAACAAAAAACAGAGAGAGAGAGCTAAAGTGAATAGACAGAAATACTGTTACCTTGGCAGAGATTATAATCATTGTAATGAAACAAAGTATGTGATTTGTTGAATGTAAAACTGACGATCTTCCCTGTAAACTTTCACTCAATTCACAATAAAAACTTTAAAAAACAAACAAACAAACAACAAAAAAAACTTAGGTTTGGAAACATTAATATGCAATTTCAGTGTTCTAGATTTAGTAGAGAGTCATTAGAATAGTTAGAGCGAACTGCCTTCCATTCAGTAACTTCACATTTACAAGTTCCACAAAAAATCTGAAGAAAAAAAGTTCAACCTACAATTTAAGATTTAAATCAATAACTTCATTTGGATTTAATGCTATACTCATAATAAATAATCAAAAGTTCAGATTTTTTTCTTATGTGAAAAATACAGAGAATATTTTTAAATTATGCAAAATATTTTATAATTTTAATAAAGAAAATCACACTTCTAATATTGGTAATGTAAACTTTAGCAGCTGTTTAGGAATAATCATTACAATGGGATATATTCATAAATGGAAATCCAAAATGCATTCAACTCATTAGCATTAATGTTCTTTAGAGAAATGTACACAGAAGAAAGTAAAACACAGACCCCTAATTAAATCCAATATGTACCTTACTTTTAAAAACTTAATAATAGAATATTCCATTTCCAAGAATTTTTTTTTATTATTGGAATATAAGTGTTCCAATATAAAATTAAGTGTAAGATTTTAGTATTTTTAATAGAATTAATTTTGTTTTGCATTTCCACGTATTACTTTTACCTTAACAATAATATATAATACTCACATGGAATTTTATGCAACTCATTCATAAACTTCTCCTTCAGTTTAGAAAATGCATCTTCCTTTCCATTCCCAGGAGTGGCTGGTTCTGTGGCATTATTTGCTAGGGCAGTGGCAACTGTCGTGACTGGCGGAGCTGCCAGGGCCTCATGATGACTCTCGCTCACCATCTTAGGTTCAGGTGCAACTGTGAGGTTAGGGAAGTAAAGAAAGAACAATTCAGAGTGACTTAACTGATCCCACATCAAAGGTATAGCAGAGATGAAAAGGCATCAGAGAGTGCACCTGCTCCCTGGGTAAATAGTCTGTCATTAGCATATCACTTTATGTTGATTCATGAAATATTTATGGAACAGCAGTGGAGAGTCCTCCCCAGAAGGTAAGACCAGACATCGTTACTGCATAGTATTCTCTTCCAATAATACAATGTAAGCTGTCATCTATTAGTTATTTATACAGCCTATTATTTGCCATGTAGATTTACCTGCTAACCACATCTTACCTAATGGATATGAAACTGTTCTGACAACATACACATTCTACACCCTAAACATTCTGCATTTTTAAAAACGGAAATGTTGACACTGAAACTGTTAGTGGACTTAAAAAATTATATTATTTAAACATTGATATTCTTAAGATTCATGAATATTGTTTAGACATTTGTTTTTGAATCTCATTAACTGATGGCACATTTTCCTCCAGACTTTTTTTGACATTTACCTTAGACAATACTCTGATCAATAATCTACTTGTCTTGATTGGTGCAAATGTGGCATGATTGATTGCATATATCAAGGCACCGATGATGCTAATAAACATGTGACTAATCTATTTATTTTAATTAACTTTATTTGTTCTACTATACAATCTTTAAATTCTATAAAATGTCTATTTACCTCCACAATATAAAAAATATTAATACTTAATATAAGTAATGAAAATGTATTAGCCTTGAGTTCAGAAGACCTCAATTCTAGTCTTCTTCACTAGCTAAATTAATTTTGACAAGGCATTTAACCTCTTAATTTATCCATTCATGAAGAACTAAATCCTGCCCTTGCTAGAGATTTCCTAGTGTACTTAGTTAAGTGCTTCATAAATGTGAAGAAGGTAATCTAAAGATGTAGAAAATATTTTAGACTTTAGTCACTTTACTGTGTAATTTAAAATTTCAGGCTGTGCTAATGAAAGGGTGGACAGGATACTGGACAGGAATAGATAGAAGCATAAAGTCCAGGGCAACGGGAACTTCATAGTCATAGCAGGAAAGCTGGTAAACTCATAAAGCCCTTTTGATTTACAAAGAAATTGCGATCACTAATAAACAGGTAGAGGTTCTTATAAATTCAAAACTTCTGTGAATTAATTATGTATATCAACATATTTTATATGTATGATAAACATTTGACTGAAAATCAAAAGGACAGTGGTTCAAACTCACCAGCTACTCTGCAGAAAAAGATAAGACTTTCTGCTTCTGCAAAGATTTATAGCCTCAGAAACCCTATATTGGGTTGCTATGAGTCTTAACCGACTAGAGGATACTTAACAACCAACATATTTAGGGAAAATGCAAATGGAAGTAGAATAGTTTCAGATGTTTGGGATTATTATAGTCTAAATCAGATTTCAGAGATTTTGGGTCTCCTGGTAGGAGATCAAGGCTAAGGCCCTAGGTCATTTTCCCCTTGTCTAAAAAATTTTATTCTTTTAATTTTTATTGTAGTTAAAAAATTTATAACAAAACAGACTAAATGCTTTAGAGAAAGGAAGACTGCTTAAGGGAAATAAGACCCAATATATCCAGACTACACTCCCAGCTAAGGTTACTCAAGGTATAAGTAGATTTGTGTTATCTTTCAGTAACCCAGAAATTAATTGGAACTTAATCCAGCAGCATTTTAGGAGGTTGTGGAACAATATACACTTGTCTG